TTTTTATAAATGTATGGTTTAATGTAACTGTGCAACAACGTTGCAATTAAATGTGCTATATAAGTGATAACAGTTACTCCACCCACTCCAGTTGTAGACTACTGGTGGAGGCAAGAACACTTCACACAATTTCCCAAGAAATTGTAGCTTTTCTAGTTATTATTATTATTATTATAGCAAAATTTGCCACCCTAACTCCTCCCACAGTTTTTACACTACATAGACCAAAATTTACCAAAACGTGCAGATTGTTCCCGGTCGGATTGCTATTACTTTGTGGAACGTTTCGCCGAATGGTTCACGGAATATCGTCGTTCTTGTGGCGAAATTTGTCCCATAGGAATGAATGGCAAAGCTAGAGTGGGAGCTGGCAAAAGCTGAAAAATCAGGACATGATTTATGAAGCTACCTACTCCCTTGACTTTTTTCAGGCCCCACCTACACAAATCTTATATCAAAACGTTCAGCTATCCCTCACGCACTAAACATGTCGCCATTTAAACCCTTAGTCCTGATAGTTTTCACAATATAATCAGTTTGTTTTGCAACTAATGCCGTCCGGCTAACTTTCATTTGAAACTTTCACTCTGCAAAGCTCAAATTTGAAGTGCAATTTCTAAACTGTGACTGTGCCTTCAAGGTTTTAATACTTCAGAGACATACTATACATCAAAATGGGTCTGGGTCTTGTGATTCTCCTGATATAAAGCTCTTCACTGTAGTTATAGTTTTTAAAATATGACCGTTTGAAGATGGCAACCACCAAAATACTCTGACCTGTGTCAAGCTGCAGCAGCAAGTGATGTCATAGACAGGGCCTTTTGAGCACCTGCTAATGTTTTTATAAATGTATGGTTTAATGTAACTGTGCAACAACGTTGCAATTAAATGTGCTATGTAAATGATAACAGTTACTCGCCCACTCCAGTTGTAGACTACTGGTGGAGGCAAGAACACTTCACACAATTTCACCAGAAATTGTAGCTTTTCTAGTTATTATTATTATTATTATAGCAAAATTTGCCACCCTAACTCCTCCCACAGTTTTTACACTACATAGACAAAAATTTACCAAAACGTGCAGATTGTTCCCGATCGGATTGCTATTACTTTGTGGAACGTTTCGCCGAATGGTTCACGGAATATCGTCGTTCTTGTGGCGAAATTTGTCCCATAGGAATGAATGGCAAAGCTAGAGTGGGAGCTGGCAAAAGCTGAAAATTCAGGACATGATTTGTAAACTGCCACCACTCCCTTATTTTCAGGCCCACCTACACAAATCTTATATCAAAACGTTCAGCTATCCCTCCTGCCACTAAACATGTCAACGGCTAAGCCGTAGTCCTGATAGTTTTCACAATATGACCATTTGTTTGCAACCAACGCCGTCCATTGACATTCATTGAAACTTCACTCTGCAAAACTCAAATTTGAAGTGCAATTTCTAAACTGCGACTGTGCCTTCAATTTTAATACTTCAGAGACATACTATGCATCAAAATGTAGGTCTGGGTCTTGTGATTCTCACAATATAAAGCTCTTCACTGTAGGAGTTATAGTTTTTAAGATACGACCGTTTGAAGATGGCAACCACCAAAATACTCTGACCTGTGTCAAGCTGCAGCAGCAAGTGATGTCATAGACAGGGCCTTTTGAACACCTGCTAATGTTTTTATAAATGTATGGTGTAATGTAACTGTGCAACAACGTTGCAATTGAATGTGCTAGACTACTGGTTGAGGCAAGAACACTTCACACAATTTCCCCAGAAATTGTAGCTTTTCTAGTTATTATTATTCTTATTATAGCAAAATTTGCCACCCTAACTCCTCCCACAGTTTTTACACTACATAGACAAAAATTTACCAAAACGTGCAGATTGTTCCCGATCGGATTGCTATTACTTTGTGGAACGTTTCGCCGAATGGTTCACGGAATATCGTCGTTCTTGTGGCGAAATTTGTCCCATAGGAATGAATGGCAAAGCTAGAGTGGGAGCTGGCAAAAGCTGAAAAATCAGGACATGATTTCTAAACTGCCACCACTCCCTTATTTTCAGGCCCACCTACACAAATCTTATATCAAAACGTTCAGCTATCCCTGCTGCCACTAAACATGTCAACGGCTAAGCCATAGTCCTGATAGTTTTCACAATATAATCATTTGTTTGCAACTAACGCCGTCCATTGACATTCATTGAAACTTCACTCTACAAAGCTCAAATTGGAAGGGCAATTTCCAAACTGCGACTGTGCCTTCATTTTTAATACTTCAGAGACATACTATGCATCGAAATGTAGGTCTGGGTCTTGTGATTCTCACAATATAAAGCTCTTTGCTGTAGGATTTATAGTTTGTAAAATACGACCATTTGAAGATGGCAACCACCAAAATACTCTGACCTGTCAAGGCTGCAGCAGCAAGTGATGTCATAAACAGGGCCTTTTGAACACCTGCTAATGTTTTTATAAATGTATGGTTTAATGTAACTGTGCAACAACCTTGCAATTAAATGTGCTATATAAATGATAACAGTTACTCCGCCCACTCCAGTTGTAGACTAGTGGTGAAGGCAAGAACACTTCACACAATTTCCCCAGAAATTGTAGCTTTTCTAGATTATTATTATTATTATTATAGCAAAATTTGCCACCCTAACTCCTCCCACAGTTTGTACACTACATAGACAAAAATTTACCAAAACATGCAGATTGTTCCCGATCGGATTGCTATTACTTTGTGGAACGTTTCGCCGAATGGTTCACGGAATATCGTCGTTCTTGTGGCGAAATTTGTCACATAGGAATGAATGGCAAATGGCAGAGTGGGAGCTGGCAAAAGCTGAAAAATCAGGACATGATTTCTAAACTGCCGCCACTCCCTCATTTCCAGGCCCACCTACACAAATCTTATATCAAAACGTTCAGCTATCCCTGCTGCCACTAAACATGTCAACAGCTAAGCCATAGTCCTGATAGTTTTCACAATATAATCATTTGTTTGCTACTAACGCCGTCCATTGACATTCATTGAAACTTCACTCTACAAAGCTCAAATTTGAAGTGCAATTTCTAAACTGCGACTGTGCCTTCATTTTTAATACGTCAGAGACATACTATGCATCAAAACGTAGGTCTTGGTCTTGTGATTCTCACAATTTAAAGCTCTTCGCTGTACGATTTATAGTTTTTAAAATACGACCGTTTGAAGTTGGCAACCGCCAAAATACTCTGACCTGTGTCAGGCTGCAGCAGCAAGTGATGTCATAGACAGGGCCTTTTGAACACCTGCTAATGTTTTTATAAATGTATGGTTTAATGTAACTGTGCAACAACGTTGCAATTAAATGTGCTATATAAATGATAACAGTTTCTCCGCCCACTCCAGTTGTAGACTACTGGTGGAGGCAAGAACGATTCACACAATTTCCCCAGAAATTGTAGCTTTTCTAGTTTACCGTTATTATTTTTTCTTTGGCATTATGCGGCTGCATGATTTCACTTATTTTAGCCTTTTTGTAAGTACAGTTTGTCTCTCACGACTATTTATAATTAATATGTTCCTTATCCAGCAGGTCACTGTACTGACTCTGACATAGTTTTACTTTATATGGGAGGCCATACGTTTATTATTTTCAGTTAAAGTATGCCTTTAGTATAAACTAAGAAAGGCAGAACTGTACAGACTATTGACAGCTCAGGCCAGCGACCCTAGGCCTGGCACTAGCTCACAAGGGCCGTCTACCAGCACCTCCGAAACTACGTAGGAAACCTTGACAGCCATACTGGCCAACCTCCAACCTCTGAATAGTAGACTGTCAAAGGTGGAATCAGCCATTGCCACCCCAGGTGACCTACCAGGCCCTTCAGGTCTTCCCCTGGTAATACCTAATCTGCCGAGTTGCACCTCCCTCCCCCCACCTACCCCATATGTCTCACCTGCTCACTCCGTCCCAGCATCCATCAAAAAAGAAATACTGGATGGAAAGGAAGTGAACTTAGTTTCCCTCCTCATAGCCTCGCAGGATGTTCTATAAAACCGAGCATATAACAATGGGGACATCTCTATGGTATAAAAAACTAGAGACCCACATCTAAACAAAAAGCTATCTATACCGCAATTTGTTATAGCTTTCAGGATATATAGAGATCTCATTTGTTCTGTGTATCAGCATAGGAGGGACGAGCTTGATTTTTACATGCAGTGGTGGACCTAGGCATCAAGTACGGGGGGTCGTCTTTTTACGATTACCACAAGTCCATGTCGGCCAAGGCAACAACTCATCTGGCCCAATTTAATATCAGAATTGACTGGTGCCAGATGGACACGGAGGTGTTCTGCTGACACTTTGCCAGATTGAGGCCCCCTTCCTGTGCCGCCTGTAGCTCTACTTCCCACTCAACAGATTTGTGCCCTTGTAAGGCAGACCCTTCCTCTTCTCACAACTCCTTCACCCAACACACTAGGCAATAAGGGCAGAGGGACACGCTGGGCAGACCCATTGTGTTTCTGGGCAAGGCGCAAGTGTGCAACAATTTTAACGCTGGAGCATGCAGTTTCAGCACATGCAGGTTGTTGCACGTCAGCTCCATTTGTTTCAGCGTGCATACCAAGACCATGTGCCCAGCCAGACTTTCCACTAAAAAATGACTGACCGAGGTCAACATAGATGCCGTGGCCTACTACCTCCGTTCCCACCCACCCAGGCATTTGGTGGAATTTTTGGTGGTGGGTTTTTCACATGGTTTTCACATGGGCCTCATTGCCATTCCCACAGGCACTCTTGAATGCCCAAACCTGCTGTCAGCATCTAACTCAGGCTCTCTCATACCCGCTGAGGCGTTTTTATTACAATACGCAAAAATTGACGACGCTATGCAAGTCATTATTGTAGCAGGCAGCAAGGCATGGCTAAGCAAAACCGACATTACCAATGCCTTCAAGCTCTTATCCATTCACCCCTCACTATGGCACTTACACAGTGTTACATGGCGGGACAGGTACTATTTTTCTACCTGGCTCACTTTTGGGTCTAGGAGCAGCCCTAAGCTGTTTGATATATTTGCGGAAACACTCTGCTGGCTGCTCTTGAACATAGACATGTGTCCGTCCGTGATTCACTACTTAGATGATTTTTTTGTTGGTAGAACCTGACTCCCATGCACCTAGTAGCATTTACAGCACCACAGCCCTGTTCACTACACTCGGGGTGCCCCTGTCACCAAGCAAAACACTCGGGCCCTCCACTAAGATAGTATTTCTGGGCATCTTTTTGGACACAGAGCCTTTACAAGCCAGCCTACCACCAGAGAAATTGACCCGCATTAGGGACAAAATCAGTCTGTTCATGCGGAGTGATACTTGCACCAGAAAGTATCACTCACTTAACTTTGCAATGAGGATCATTCCACAGGGCAGATCATTCATCTCTAGGCTACCGTGGCTACTCCATGGGGTGCCTGACTCTTGCCCATTTATCTTAGATGATCCACCCAGGGCAGATTTGCACATGTGGAGGAACTTTTTCTTTTGGTATTTCCTCTTTTTTTGGTTTTATAGTTTTCATGATTTTTTTCCTCTGGGTTTTTTCGAGATGTGTGGCTGCACAGTACGACATGGCAACAAGGGGGCCAGACAGTCAGCACAGCTTGCAAATACAGGGGACACTTTAGGCCACCCAGGCACAGGGGCAAAATATCCGAGGGTACTGATGTCTCCAATGTAAAATACAGTACATTTTTTATATATTTTTTTATTTAAGAGACCCCTGAAGCACTTTAGCTTGCTGAAATGCTTTATTTGTGAAGGATGTGTCCTCTTTTTTTCATTTTACAAAAAGTTCAGATTTTAATAGGAATTAACAGCTTTTCTTGTTCTTTCCTGGTTTGGTTAATGAAGCCTAGAGCACCTGTCTCACAAACACTTCTAAATGAGATGCATTGATAGAAAGTCTGTGTTGGAAAAGAAAATGAGGGCTTGCAAAGGCTGCAGACAAGGGAACTGTGGCTTTTGCAAACTTTTTTTAGATATACCTTCAATGAAAATATGCATTATTAAATTTTTTTCATTTGGGGTATCTCTACTAAAAAGTGATTTTACAGTGATAAAATAAAAATGTTTCATGCTACACCAGGGTTTAATTTTTCCCATGGAACCCATCGCCACCCACCCCTGCCCCAAGGTAAAAATGTTTTTTTAATTGCGCCATTTTTTTTTTTTTAAACGTGTGTGTCAAGGTATGTAAATCTGTGCTTGTATATTCCAGTTTTATATCTGACACACAGATACACACACAGTGTGTGTGTGTGTATCTATCTGTGTGTCAAAGTGTGTGTGTGTGGTCAAAATTGACGTTCAAATTAGTTTTTTGCATTTTCAAATATTAACACTAATTTTGGCCAGTGTTTGTGACCAAGTGGCTACTAAAAAAGACTGGGCATACCCCATTTGCAATACCTTGGGTTGTCTACTTTTGCAAATGGTATGCTATCATGGGGACAATTCTTATTCCTGGGCTACCATACGGTCTCAAAGGCAATGTAACCAATCTGGCGAATTTCAATGTGAAGAAACTGAAAAATGTAACATGCTATATTTGACCCTGTAACTTCCCAAAACACCATAAAACCTGTACATAGGGGGTACTGTTTTACATGTGAGACATCACTGAATACAAATATGTGTATTTTATTACAGTAAAATCAAACAGTATTATGACATTCAGAGTTAGAATGTCACGTAGAACTAAACATTTTTTAAAAATTCGTATTTTCTCCTTTTTTTTTATATTTTATTCATATTAAATTATGTTTTATACCTAAATATTTGATGTTAAATGAAAGCCCTGTTTCCCCTGAATAAAATTATATATAATAAGTGTGGGTGCACATAAAATTAAAGAGTTGAATTACGCCTGAACAGACATATAGCGCAAATTAAAGTTTTTGTTTATGTTTTGTTTTGGGGCTCAGTCCTTAACCCCTTAACGACAAGTGACGGGCGAGGTCCGTCACTCAGAGGATTGCCATAACGACGAGTGCGTTAAAATTAGCCCCAGATCATGGCGATCGTGGGGTTAATGGTGCTCAGGTCTGCCTCTGTATTAGAGGCAGACCGGGAGCACCCGATCAGGCTGCCCCAGCACATATGCTCGCTCCGACAGTCTGTCAGAGCAAGCACATGTGCTCAGTATACTTACCTTCCGCCTCCCTGCACTTCATGGTTCTGTGTGAAGTGCAGGAAGCTGGAACAGTGATGATCCTGCCCCCTGTGTAAAAAATAAATAAAGTTTATTTAAAATCCCACCCCCATTTACCCATTTTAATTAAAAAAATTAACCCCTTCCCTGCCAATTGATCACTGACTACAGTGATCAATTGGCAGGGATTACATTTGATTTTTTTTAACCCCTAAGGGTTAATGTTTTATTTGTTTTAACCCTCAGGGGTTAAATTTATTTGATTAATTAATTTAAATATTTTAAAATTATATATTTAGCTAGCTGGGGTGGGTGGAAGTTAGTGGGGAATTGGGGGATTTGGTGTTAGGCTAACTAGGGGTTAACGTTAAAAAATGTTTTAAAATAAACTTTAAAAAGTTACAAATTAAGCTAAAAAAAGTTTTAATAACGTTTAAGTAAAAAATAAAAAAAACACCCCCCTTTACCCAGTCCAAATAAAAATTAACCCCTTCCCTGCCAGTCGATCACTGCCTACAGTGATCAAAATACAGATCACATTATTATACTGTGATCTAATTTTTTTAACCCCTGAGGATTAACTTTTATTTATTTTTTAACCCTCGGGGGTTCAATTTATTTAATTAATTTAAATATTTTATAATTATATATTTTGGTGGGGTGGGTGGGAGTTATGGGAAAATGGGGAATTTACTGTTAGTGCTGCTTGCTGCTAGTTAGGGGTTAACAGTAAATAAAAAAGCTTAGAAAAATGTTAAATCTGTAAAAAAAAGTTTTAAGAAAGTTTAGGAAAGTTTAAAAAAAATTAATAAGCAAAACAAAAAAATCACTTCACACAGCTCACTACAGAAATCTCACTAAATACAAGCTTACCCACAGACATTCAAGCTCACAATAGAAATAATCACTACACACCGCTCAATACGACGCACACCAAGCTCACATTAGAAAGCTCATTGATATATTCAAGCTCCAAACAAATATTTTTACTACACACGGTCACACAGCTCACTGACAAACACACAAGCTCACTACAGAAAACTAACTGACACACGGAGATACAAGTTCACTGACACATACACAAGCTCACTACACACAAGCTCACTGACATATACAAACACAAGCTCACACAGCTCATTACAGACAGCTCACTCACATGCAGACAATGTCACTACACACAAGCTCATTGATGCATTTACAAGTTCACTAAACACAAGCTCTTTAACACACACACACAATCTCACTACACACAAGCTCACTAACACACTCACACATTAACTAAACACAAGCTCTTTGACACATACACACAAGCTCACTACACAAACGCTCAATGATACACACTCACAAGTTTACTAAACACAAGCTCTTTGACACACACAAGCTCACTGACACAAACATACACAAGCTCATTAAACACAAGCTTACTAAACAAATTCTTTGACACACACAAAAACTCACTGACACACACAAGCTCACTAAACACAAGCTCTTTGACACACAAAAGCTCACTACACACACACACACACAGAAGTTCACTAAACACTAGCTCACTGAAACACACACAAGCTCACCAAACACACACCCAGGCTCTAAGCGCACACACACACAAGCTCACTAAACACAGACTCACTGACACACACACACCCACACACACACACAAGCTCACTACACACATTCTCACTGATACACTCACAAGTTCACCAAACACAAGCTCTTTGACACACTCACAAGTTCACTAAACACACGCTCTTTGACACACACACACAAGCTCACTGACACACTCAAAAGCTCACTAAACACAAGATATTTGACACACACACGCTTACTAAACACAGGCTCACTACATTCACACAGAAGATCACTAGCACACAAGATCACACTATCCCTATCCATTTGCTGCTGTGGATGGAGAGCTGGAAGCCTGGAACACAGGATGTTCCTTACAGCATGGCCGGGTTGGAGCTTAGGTGCTGCTGGCCACTGCAAAGGGGCCCATAAGGGTTTACCTTTGACTCCACAGTTGGGAGGGGCTGAGGGAAGTGGAATTCCCCCTCCACCTTCTACAAACATAGAGCTCTCACACTGGAGAAGTTTATCAGAGACCAGGTAAGGATAGCTTCCTGTTGGTCTCACACTACATTGCCTTATTTGACTCTGGGCTGGATGGGGAGCTCCTGACTGCACCTGACCGATGTGCCCGAGTGATCAGTCCGCCCCTGTCCTGAGGTGCTTGACAACACAGGACAAGATCCTAATCATGCCAGCAGTGAAAGGCAAAGCTCCACTGGCTTTTGAGGATTCCAACCTCACTTTTTTTTCAAGACCTCTCCAGAAATGGGTGCATCTTTGGCGCAAATAGTTTGGCCCTGTTACCAGTCAGTTTTGGGTGGCAGGCATGGCTTATATTTTGGGACTAATGGCTCTCTTGCAATGCAACTACCTATGTTCTTACCTCCATGGCTGAGGCAACCACCTTTATGGACAAAATTGGCCTGGATACCACGTCTGAAGACATGGATATCGCACCCATTACAGAGACATGGGATTCCGCTACTGTCATCCCCTTTGTCCCAGCGACCTGACTGCAGGAGGCAACGGCCTGGCTCAAACCTCCACACACACATGCTGCTGCCTATTTGTAGTTTAGATGTAGATTTTCAACATTTAGATTGCTTTACCCACACTGTTTTCCTTTAAAGAATGTTGGCAATACGGCTTCTTACTGTCATGTCACCCATGAACTCCTAGTTCACCCTTTACATGGGTACCACATTGTTTGACCTCGGGTGTCACATACCAGACTGCACATGCATTACTTGGGTGCCTGGTTAGGTGAAATTTTCTCAAGATGCACACGTGTCTGTATTGGTTTTTATGTTTTTTGTTTTGTTGTTATTCTTTATTTGAGCCTGTACTTACCCAAGCTGACCATGCATCCCACCCCCACACTTTAAGTATGGTCTTAACCCTTAATTGTCAGGACAGATGAATGTGCTTTTTCACTAGACCTGTGCAATTAGTTTCGTTCCGAATGTACATTCGGACGAATTTTGTGCAATTCGGACATTTGGATGCTTACAACTATCCGAAGTGCCGAACCAAACCGAATTGCCGAATTTCTAAAGTGCTTCGGATTTCTAAATAGTGACAAAACAAGAGAAAGGGAGGGAAAATTACGTGAATGATGACAGGAATCTTGACCAATAAGATAATTCCTGGCACTGGGATCCCTCCCAGTGCTCCGACTGTCACCACAACCACTTACACATCTATAGGGCTCCTAGTGCCCAGACTGCCACCACAACCACTTACATATCTATAAGGCTCCCAGTGCCCACACTACCACCACAACCACTTACACATCTATAGGGCTTCTGCCTCCCAGTGCCCAAACTGCCACCACAACCACTTACACATCTATAGGGCTCCTAGTGCCCAGACTGCCACCACAACAGAATTGCCAAAGTTGGTAGTTTGGAAGTGCCAAACTGAACCGAATGCCATTGGTCTGAATTGCCAAAGCAGATTATTTTTTTTACTTACCCGAATTTCCGTACTGAACCAAATTTATTGCCCATGCACATCCCTAATTTTCACTCCTTGTATGTCTCATCCTGCTTAGTCTGTTCCGTGATAGGTAAAGCTTTAAATCTTAAACAAAAACAGTGTTCTATAATTATTATTATTGGTATGTATATAGCGCCAATTAATTCCGCAGCACTTTACAATATATTTCCTGATATGGCTATACTTTTTTTGGATTGTCAAACCTATTTTGACATGTCTATGTATTCTTGATTGCCATGCAAAACACTACAAAAATAAATAAATAAATAAATAAAAAAGTTCCTTCACATAGCCTCCTGATATCAGAATGGGCCTCACAATCCATATAGAACCATTTTTTCCATTTGATTATACTGCCATCACATGGCCAAAATAAGGAACTACCCCTATACACTTTTTTTTTTTTTACCACTGTGTGGTAAATTTGGCAGACTTATGCATTGCATGATCATATAGTGTAACTAAAACCCCATTACTTTTGTAAGTAAATACAAAAAAACTATAAAATTTTGTGAGCTTTGAAGTGAGTGCACTGGATCCTGTATGATATATACACTGATCAGCAACAACACTAAAATCACTTGTAGTAGATGACCTAACCTCGGATATGAGCTGACGTGTCTCTCGGGTGCTCCCGGCGGATCGCCTAAATAAACAGCTATCAACCATGAAATAAACAACCATAGGCAATAAAAAAATGCCCCAATGCCGCTCATGAACCCCAGGACCCGAACCCAATAAAAAATCTGGGGAGTTGGATAAGTATTTCTGCAACAAATTCAGAATCCTGGCCTTGGAGGCCAAAGACAGTTCTCAGGCACCATCTTTGCAATGTGATTCACTGCCTCTGAGCCCGGCATTCTTGGACCCCTCAACGAGCAGCAGGACCCAGATCTACACGCAATTCACAAAAACCTACCATCCAAAGCAGACATAGCACTGATGCAAGCAAAACTCGAAACTTCAGTCCAGGATCAAGTCTCCACATTGACGAACGAGTCCAGACAGGTGGGCCACATGGTCAGTGACTTGGAGGACGAAAGAGAAACAATACAAGCAGGGCCGGAATGGGAGAAAAATTCGGCCCGGGCATTTTTTTAACACAGCGGCCCACTAAAAAGGGGGCGGGGCAGAGGAGGTGTGTTTTGTCATCACCAATGCCAAACACGCCTCCTCTCAAAGTGAGCATGTTGGTTCAATGCTCTTCCAGGGCAGACCATGCGCAGAGCTCTGCTGAAGAGCTCTAGCATGAGAAAAAAGTCCTGTATTTGTTCTGCACAGTGCAAGCAAATTTAATAACATGCTTGCACTGTGTTTTCTTGCAACTTGTCTCTGGTGTCTCTATAAATGGATACCAGGAGACAAAAGGGCCAGGAAAGAGTATTGTGCATGTGTTTGGAGCCTGCTTGTGGTATTGCGTGTGTGTAGAGTGAGCTGGTCGTGGTGTGATA